TATGTATTTTATTTATTAATGATTATACTATTTATTTCCGTTTGATTGGTCTTTCAATGATGCAGATCTACCTGTTGATGAATGGAAAGTGAAGATGTATCATGAAATTTTGGGTATATGGAAAGATTGACTTTTATAAACTATTTGCTTGTACATTTTTGATAAATAACGAATTTGTATATTTATAGATTTCCATAATGTAGATGGTCAAAACTACGTGGAAAATTCAGAAATTCAGCAGCAAGCGTTTTCATAATCCAAACATGTTTTTTTATTAAAAATAAATTATACGAGCAAATCAGCAGGTAAAAATTATTTATCATTCGTTTTTTAACGTTTTATTTTTGTTTAAACAAAAAAATTTATTTATTTATTTATAAATAACCAAATTATTGTATAACTTTACATTATTGATGGGAATAAGATGAAAATTAACTTTCGATTATGATAAAATTTATATTTTCAAGTATCCTTAATACTTATTTAAATAAATTTCCTTCATGTATAGATTATTAATTTAATAATAGCAAGATTTCCAAAATATTTATGCGCCAAAGCTTGTTCAGCAGTAATACGTTTTTTCGGGTCAAAAACTAACATTCTTTCAAGTAAATCCAATGCTACGAGAAAGGATAATCGTGTTAAATATAAAGGTTAATCTTTTATATTATGAAATACGTAAATCTTCACATTATAATGTAATGTTTATTACCTTCAGATTCGGCATTCGTAAACTTTTGGGAAAAAGGGACTTTTTCACGTTTTGGTAATGATTGTACAAAACGAAGCGTCTATATTTAAATTGAATAAGTATATTTTTTTCCTCTCTAGTTGTCATAATATTAATACATATAAAAGTCAAAAATAATATGATATACATTTTCACTACAGATAGTTTGGATTACATCGTCTGGTGGAGTTCCAAGTAATTCAGTGATAATTGAAAACTGATTGACGTCTAATATAATAAGTAAATTTTTTAAAAAATATGAATTACAAACAAATAATACAATAAACATAATCATTTTCGTATTCTTACGGTCTTTTCCAGGAAAAAGAGGTTTTCCTTCTAACATTTCAGCAAAGATGCAACCAGCACTCCAAATATCAACTGTTTCATAATTAGAAAGTATTTAAATTATTATTGTTAAATCCTATAAAATCTGTACTTGAGCAATACATAGCATAGAAAATATTATATACCTGCTACATCGTACTTTTGCCAAGTAAGCATGATTTCAGGAGCTCTGTAATACCTTGTTGAAACGTAGCCAGTCATTTGTGGATCTTGAAGACGGGCAAGTCCAAAATCACATATCTAAATTTAGTTATTTACAACTGAAATAAGTACGTTATTTCCTTGAATAATAGAAATACTCAAATAAAATTACCTTCAAATCACAATTTTCATTAACCAAAATATTGCTTGGTTTCTTTTTTAATAATAAAATTACTTATAAAATTTTGATCTAATAAGATTAATCAAAAAGAACATAATTTATAGGTACGAACCAAATCCCTATGCACAACACCAGCAGAATGGACATATTTTAACCCTCGCTATATTAAAAATTAATAAATTATCAATACATTAAAGTAAAATATTTAAAATAAAAAATATTCATAATTTATTTACCAATATTTGATATAAAAAGTATTGAATAAATTGTTTTTCCAATGGACGAGAAGTCAAAAGCCTGTGTAAATCTGTTCCTAGCAATTCGGTAACAAAATATCTATATTGATTTAATAATAATAAATATTTAGTTTAATTACTAATTTCGCTAAATTTTCTCATAAGAAAAGAAATATCGCAACCTAATTCCGAGATATTGATTAGATCTTTTAAATGGAAACTAAAGACAATTTTACATACATATCTTCTAACGGAGAAATAAAAATGTCACTTAAACTAATAATCTAATTAGCATGAAAATGGTTGAATAAACGCTTGGTAAATAATAATTTTATTAAAAAATTGATCTGATAAAGAAAATAAAAATGGAAAACAACATTCTCATGTTTCAAATGTTTCAATAGTTTAAGTTCACGATATGTTCTCTTTGAAAGTACAGGAGTACTAAATGGTTTCATGATCTTCTTTATTGCAACGTTTGTACCGGTAAGTTGGTCCTTTGCGGAACTAAAATAAAGGTGAGAATTTACTATTCCCAATTATTCAAGATAAATTTTCGAATAACATACCAAACTAAACCAAAAGCCCCCATGCCAACAGGTTGAAGATCAACATATCTATTCAGGTGAAAATGAACGATACTTAAATAATGCACTTGTTAAATAATAATTAAATGACTAAGACCAAAATGTGAAAAATGCCTTGTTGTGACTTCAAATACCGTTCCAAATATCGACAATTTTATAAAATCAGCCATTAAATGAAGTTTACACTTAATAAGTAAAAGGGATATAAAACAAAAAAAAGCAAACGAAAGAAGTTTTCAAAAATAAATAGTATTTTTATAATTAAAAGTTACGGGGCTACACAATGATGACTGATGAAGTCATGGTGAGGTAATCTTCATTAAAATAAAATAATTTCCCAAAAAAAGTCAGAAAGAGATCATGAGGTATATTCATCAGCATTTCACATGGTGACATTAAAAATGTGACGATCTTGAATTTGTATTAAATAGTTCTTTTATAAAATTTTAAAAAAACGATTTTTTATTTTATAAAACAAGCTTAGTAAATATTTTTATAAGTAAAAACTATAAATGTTAATCCTTTCTGAATGCTTTTTTATAAATACATTTACTATTCTGATCTTAAAACTTAAATGATAAATGTAATTACACATATAAGTTTTTTAGTCTTTTTATATAATAAATATATTCTTTAAATGCAAATAATAACTGGTATTAGATTATTTAAAAATAAATAATTATTGAATAAATATTCTTTTTATAATAAAGATAACTAGCATTTTATAAATACTAGATTCTTTAAGTATTAAATCATCAGAGATAAGTCTTATAAAAAAACTTTAATGTTAAATTTTGAAAGATCATTTTAGTTTAAATTATTAATACTAAAAAATAGTCACCAATTATTCTTAAAACTAGGATATAATATTACTATCATAATTTAGTTGTGACATTATAATCTAATTATGATATTATAATCTAATGATGATGTTATAAATTTAGTGATAACTTCATAACCTAATAATATGTATTAGTTATTTATTATGAAATTAGAGATATTATCAGGTATTATAGTATAGCTATAATTCTAATAATATCAGTAATTGAGTAGTAAGTAAACTAATATATTTTCTGATTACCAACGTCTATGATAAAAAAAATCACATGAAATATATGATTCATATGATATTCTTTCTTAAACTATAGAGATTTGCAGATAAATTTGCCTGTTTATTTACTATAAATTCCCTTCTAATTTACTTTTATAAAAAATTAAAATTAAAAAAATTTTTTTTTTAAATTAATTTTATAAATAAATATAATATTATAGTAAATTTTATTTTTAATTATATAATAAATAATTTAAGATTACTTATAAGCTAAAAATTTGTAA